GTATGTATGTATGTATGCTCGCAGCTGTGTACATAGGTATGTAGGCATTGCATGCACACATGCATGCTTGCCTGCATACATACATACATACATACATACATACATACATACAGCGAATATGCGCTGGCCAAAACCACAGTTAAAACCCTGTTTCAGATTGAAGCGGTTCAGCTGGATTGGGGCATCCGGCCAGGTGCAGGTCGAGCCATCTGGTTGCTTTGTCGCGCCGGTCTCCAGCTGCGGAGAAACCTGAACATCGAATCATGGATATTTGCCAGAATTTGCAACAATAGAAATCACAATGATCGCTATTTTGAGTGTCTGTAGGCATCGGAATAGTGATGGTTGTGATTTGCAGGTAAAAGTAGCACAACAGAGACCACCAGCAGAACAGCGGGCGGGGGTTAAGCGAGCCAGGTGGACTTCCCACATGCAAACGGAGAGGCACTTCCTCAGGCCGTGGTGCTGGCAAGATCGAGCAAATCATGCTCTGCAATGTGTCAAGGATCCTGCCTCCTAACCATAGCGCCCGCCTGGATTGGCAATACTGCTTCGGAAGCTGCCTCCTTTCAGTCCCACTTGCAATCCGCGATGCTGCAACCTTCGTCTCTGGAACCCTCCAGATTCAGCCTCCAATCTGTTTCAGTCTCGCCCTGATATCAATTAAGCTACAAATAGGCTGGAATACCTCTTCAAGCCTCGCATCGAGAAAGGCTGGTCCGAAGCACACGGGAACGATTGAGCAAAGCTCTCGAGCGTGATTGAGGCGGCTTGTCCCGATGGTCACATAGCTTGAGCAGATCTGCTGCTGAAGCTCACTGGGCTTCCAAGCGCCAGGAGATGCTAGGAGCATACAGCCGGAGCCGAGCACATGACGCGAAAGGAAACCATCACAAGGAAGACGCCCTCCCGTCTTGTAACATGACGCAGTCGAACAAGTGTCCTCACTTTGCATCACTTTGCACGACTACAACACTTTTCTCCTTTTCAGGGATCCTGGAAATGACGCTCAAAACAGGCCGCGGAAAACCCAATGAAGAGCATATCTGTTCGGGCGAAACAGCACGAAGCTTCTCAAACATGCCTACCGACTCGCTATGAGCCGCTATGACACTCTGCCACGATGCGACATCTTGCATGGTCTGTTGCAGTCTTACAGGAAGCTGGGCCCCCGGCCTAGCATTCTTAACGCTGACGGCAGACTTCCCGTTCTCGTATGAGATGAACCTTCGCCAATCGAATGTTGCGGTGCTGCACCGTCCGCTCTTCTGGGGTCTGCGACCATCCACCCAGTCGAAGCCTGAGTGAGCTCCAGGAACCCCCACAAGCACCCCCCAATCCACTCCGCTTTCCGAGATGCAGGCTGCCATTGGAAAAAGGCACGGCCTCTCCATGGCACAAGACATGCGCACTGGTTCATACCGAGCCAGCCCGCAAGAACAATCAAGCGATCATCACGGGTTACGGTTCAAAGATGTTCAGATGACTGAATATGGCCAAGTTGACCGTCCTGCTGCCGGGTTTCGCGGGACGAGCCCCATGTTCTGGCGGAACACACGAACCTGGAAGCCAGACTCAAAATCTGCTTGGCACTGAAAGCCTGCCTACAGCCGGATTCCTCTGACCATTAAGCTCTCTGCGCTTTGCAGCACATCCGTCGAATCAGTCGTCTCTGGCACACCCTCGACCTAGGTGCCGCAAAATGTCCAAGCCTGCATTATGAAGCAAAAAGGCAACTCATCTCAGCAAGGTGCATTGCAGAAGGTGTACCTTACTTCGCCGCAGCTTCAGCGCAATTGGCCAAATGCAGCTTGCAATGCTCCTGGATGAGTCGCTGGCATGGTGCAGCCTGGCAGAATGATAAAAGGACATCGGGAAACTTCTCACTCGGTCTGTTGACTGCACCACAGGAACCGGCAGCCTCGAGCAGTTAAGGCTGAAAAAAAGGTTGGTGCAGCCGAAGGAAGACAGAGCCTGGGCGCAGGAGCAGCCGAAGCACCCGCGACAGCCCGGAAGACAGCTGTAAGACCACCGATGACTCAAGGAAACAGCAGATTGGACCGCTTTTGTACGGCCTTCTGTAAAGTCGGGCAACACAACCATGGGCGGGGTGGGCAAATGCCTGCAACAGCGGCACCGCAGCCCTCCCTTCCCCTCGACATGACGACTCGGCACTCCCTGTGGGCTCCACAAGGCTTTGAGCGATGCCGGCCGGTCACAGATGGGTCCAAACCCGGGGCGGGCCTTGTCCCCGGACGCCCCAAGCAAGCGACATGCTGCTCTGGGGCCCTGGGGTGACCCAGATGGGCTGAAGCTTGTCGAAGCTAGTCTTTCAAACGAAGCACGAGCCCTCGAGCTCTGCCAATTCCAAGCATGTTCTGCCCGGTGCTTCTGTTTTACTTCGGCGTGCGAGCTGTGTTTTTGCCAGTGATCCTTTCCACTCTTCTCCCCTTCGCTTATCTCAAACAGAGCTCGCAGTAGTAAACTCGGGGACAAAGTCGCAGACTTGATGCAGGCCAAGCGAAGAATTGCAGCATCTCCCCTACAGAGCTGGCGCCAACCAGAATCCGGCAGCTGTCAGGGAGACGCGTTCTACAGCCTGCTGAAGCAATTCAGCGAGCTCGCCCTTGCTGCAAGAAGCAATATGGGACCCTGCAAACACGATACCTGCTTCCACATTCGATCTTCAGCTTGCTAGTGACTGCTAGTGCGTAACACTGTAGCAGCTGAAAGGACTGGAGTTCTTGAAGTGACCCTTCGTGTGACACTGTCTACTTGAAAAAGGAGACTCCACTACACCTTTCACGAAAGCGATATGGACTGGAACGTCCTTGACTCCCTGCTTGCAAAACGCCAACCCAAGCTCACAATGCACAATGCTGATGATCATTCTGATTGGAAAACATCCTCTGCAGAAGGGAGTCGACAAAAAGGAAGACATGGATCTTGGTTCAATGCATGCCTTGTTGCGGGGATGCTGCTTGCGTTCGTAGCCGTTGAATTCCAGAACGACTTCCACAAGTGACAAGCCGCTATGCCACTGCAACCAGGCCGGATTAAAAGCACGAATCGGAAAAAGAAGTGACCTCCTGCCACTCATTGGCTTACACAGATTGGAGCAGAAACGATTCACCTTGCATAGCAGAATGCAGTGCACACATTGCGACGTAAAACAACGTGGCTTGTCCCAGCCTGGAGCCGAGGTACACAGGTCGCTTTCCTGGTGCAAGGCATGGATTTGATCACCGCTAAGCCGATACCCAGGATCTGCTGTGGTTACATTGCTGAAGCCTGTGACCACGTGCTCTGCCACTGCGTCCTTTCCACTGGCCTTCTCCTCGGATGCCAGTGCCCAAGTGCGAGGATGAAAGCCCGTGACTAGAAGGGCATCCCATCCCATCGTCAGAGCAGGAAGCAACATAAGCAGTGAGTACACAAGTTTTCGGAAAGCGGCGCTGCTTTCGCGCAGCTCCTCTTTGGTCTTGGCCGAGGCCTTGAAGACCTCCATCACCGAAAACCACGGCAAGGCGGGGCATCGCAGCACGCTTAGCCGCAACCCCTTTAACACGAGCCTTTTTCGACCAGCCGGCGGCTCGCGTCTCCAAAACATCCTGTGCGGCACAGCCAGAAGCTCAATGCCGCAATGTATTTCAAAATCATAGCAATGTGAGAGCGTGAAGTACCAATACAGAGACTACCATCATGGAAACCGTCAGTCCTGGATCATGAATTGCATCCTTTTGCTGTACCTTGCACAGCGATGCGCGACTCTCGGATAACCGGATACGGTATACCACAAGCTATGAAAGCATGCCGTGACGAGTAATGCTATAGGGCGACGCATTCTTTCCTTCAGGTGTCTTGCGCACCTTCAGGTCCTGCAGTCTGATAAAAGGTGGCGAAGGGAAAAACTGCAAATGAGACAGCCATGCCGAGCGCACAGTCCTTGAGTCTGTCACATGCCAGTCTCAGCGCCACTTCTCCTGCTGGTAGGCTCTCCATCCTTGGATCTGCTGCTGGCTGCAAATATTGTGGTGACACCATGGTTATCTTGCTTTCAGTGTAAAGGGATTGGCTTAATGTGAGTGCGAGCCGTCCACTGTCCCGCGCAGGCCACGTCCGCTAAAATTCAAAACTGTCCATTCATTGTCGGGTGTTTGTTGTTGAAGTTATGCTCCCGCCAGAGACTCATATTCATTGTTATTGTTGGCTTGGACTGTTACGTAGGTGACCTTTTGCACTGCTTGGGATGTTCGCTGGTATAACTCCAAGAAAAGATGTCTCCAAGCAGTTCTAAACATGTCTGACAAGATTCGTATAGCCAGCTGTCAGGAGCAGCTCACAAGCACACTCAAGCGCATGCTCCTCCTTCGCAAGCATGGCGAGCTGGAACTGAAGTTCAACTTCAAGACTGCGGGTGGCAAGACATGCTGAGCCAAGGGCGGGCGTCGTCTTGTCATCCTCGGCTACTCTGTCACATAGCAGCTTCGAGTGCTCGCGCCCAATATGCAGCTGTTCAAGGTTGCTCTTGACAGTAATTGGAATACGAACGCTTCTTCGAACATCGATTTAATGCTGGGAGTGTCCAGCAGTAGCACACAGTTTAGGTACTTCTTCTCGCGGTAGATGCGTGGCAATGCTCAGTGCGGCATCTTTGCATGCATCGTGCGGTTGAAAGTGTGGCATCTCCACTCAGCCTAACTTATCGTCCGACTGTAAAGGTTGGATTCTCCCGAATTCTCATACAAGTAAACGTCTGAATACCTAGACTCCTGAACACTCGGCTTACAAAATTTACACTTCACACACTCTGTTGGGTTGCTTCGCGACTGGCCCATCCGGCCCACATCTACAAAACTGCTCGGAGTCCTAGCGTGATCGTCACTGTGGCCGCGGTAGTCGCAGTGGGGCTTGCCCGGGCCACACAGGGGGGCGAAGGGGGCCCCTGCTGCGGCTTCCCTGCGAAACGCCGGAGAACCCTGCTCCACAGGGAGCCAAGAATCTGCACTGTTAGCCGCAGTGACAGCACCAAACTGGTGCACGGCACCGCCCTTTTCGGACTGAATCACGAACCCAGCGGAGTAGCATGATTCATGCAGCATGATCGTTTTTTTGTTTTTTTTTCTGCCGGGCTGAGGGGTCGTCTAGCGACCCTCAGGCCGTGGGCCCGCCCGACCACCCACTGTTTTATGGAGTGGCCGGCATTGGAGTGGTAATGATTGCTGCAAGAGAGGACGCAATTTGCCTTGGGTGGATCCACTGCGAGCCCCCAACCCTGAACACTATGACCCACCTGTCCCGGCCTCTGCCGCGCCCCTGTGGCCCACCATTGGGGACTCGCAGTTTCACCAAACATTGGTATAGCCCCCATGCGTTTGAGGGCGCTTGTAACGAAAAGCAGTCGTGAAACTGTTTGGTGGCCACCTTCCCCCATTTGGAGGTGGCGCAGAGGGGGGTGTTGGCAGGCACACACAGAGCCTAGAGTTGCGACACACTCGTGATTTTGTCCCCCTTCCGTGCCTGTCACTGTGGCTCGTAAAGGCCTACTTACTTGAGTGGAGTGCCTCAACTCTAGCTTCTAGTACTCATCGAATGTACCACAGTCTTCGTCGTCGGCGCGTCGGCTGTGGCTCCCTTTGTCCCTTGTGAGGTCGTCGTTCTCCCCGTCGTCTTCGTTGGGTCCAGTGTTGGTGGGTCCGCAGCTTCCTTGTAAACCACGACTGCGTCTGCTCCCCCTTCGGTCGGAGGCCCCGCAAGGCAGTTGGCTCTGGGCTCCGTTGGCACGAACCCACTTATGAGTCCCCCGTTGCCCGAGTTTCCAAATGCCTTCGATGCACCGCACTCACCGCCTCTTGTGGTGTCCCGTTGTGCGAGTTTCCAAAACCCCACTCGAGTGCACGGTGCTTGCTTTCACGTCGAACGTTGCAAAAACGTGCTTTAATTAATCCCGCACCTGTTTCAAAACAGCCTGGCGAAGCCCCCCAGGGCCGCCTTTGTTTGGAGTCGTTGGTTGGCTGGGCAGTGGGCCGGCTACGCAAACCCCCCACCCCCCCCCCAGTCCGCCGTCCCCCGCCAGCGGTGGCTGTGGGTTCATGTGAGGTTGGGAGCGTGCCCGCGCACGACACTGCTCGAAGGCCAGGTCAAGGCTATAATTTGCGGCGGCTTCCACCGCGACAAAACTGCAGCATCTAATTCGTTCAGACAGAGGCCCTCCTATTTCCACAACTTGTTAACTGAGCTGAAGCGAGTTTTGGCTGAAGCAACTTTTGGAGTCATTGTCTGGAACAGAAGAGGGATCGGTGGTGTCGTCTCCGCTGCGTGCCCCGCTCGTACAGGTGCTGGTTGCCCTTGAGGTACGTCCTGGTGTCGTTCTTGTCGTTGGGGTAGTTCAGGTGGTACGGTACTGGTAGTTCAGCTTGTAGTGCACTGGCTCCTTGCTGGTGGGCTGGGGTCTCGTCGTCCACCAGCTCCACCACATTTCCCCAGAACTGAGTACTCCACTCCAGCAGGTCTGAGACTGCTGCCGCCGCTAGGTCTTGTGCCTCCCCACAGAGGAAGGGTACCAGCGTGCGCAGCTTCTTGAGTGCTCGTAGTGGTAGCTCCGGTCTCGGTTCAGGGAGGTCCGGTTGTGAGTCCGGTTCCCCGCTGTTACAGTACGTCAGCTGGGTGCCGCGGTCTTTTCCGCAGCGGTCTGTAGGCCTCCGCAGTGTCCAGGTCGTTCTCTTCTTCGTTGTGTGCCCCCCAGGCCGTCTGGTGTAGCTCTGCTGCCTCCTGGGTAAGGTAGAGGAGGCGTTCGATGGCGTCCATCGCATGGGACGGGTGCCTCTCATCTCTTCGGAGTTCTGCGAGGAGGTTCTCGCATATCTCCTGGGCCCTCTCGGCGTATTCTTCACCCTGGTGTACGGCTCCCCAGTCTCTCGCCCTGAGTGCCCCCGCGAAAAGGCGTGCCCCTTCTTGAAGGAGCTGCAGCACTTGCTCCAGGTCCTGAAGCAGGTCTTCTTTAGAGACTTTTTGGTGCATGTCCTCGATGGCGGCGATCATGGCCACCATGAGCTGCAGCAGTTCGTGTGCTGTGGCGTGAGGGTTGGGTGGGACGGGTTGTCCGTGTGCTCCTGGTGGTCGAGGGCTGCCGTGGTACGTGTCTCGGCTGCTTTGGCTGGTGCCCTCCGTAACCTGAGGAGTGCCCGCTTCTGTGGGCGGCTGCAGTGCTGCCAGGGCTTGTTGTGCCTGCAGTAGAGCTTCTCCTCTTGTCATCTCCACTATCCTCAAAAGGCACCTTCTCGCTCTTGCGGCTGCTGCTCTTGCTTCTTGCTCCGTCTGTGTTGGGTGCCTCGTTGTTAGCCTGCGTTGCAGGTCTGTTCTGTCTGGCTCCTTGTCTTGGCTCGGCCAGCTGGTCTCGCTCTCGTCTCCTTGTGCTGCTGCAGCTGCAGCTGCTGCCATGACTTGTGGCGGTGGTGCTTTAGAGCGGGCGGGAGAGTTGGCTTGCTGAGCAGGCGTCTGCGGCTGGGGCTGTGGTTGGGACTGTGGTTGCTGTGTCGGCGTCTGCTGCGGGTCTCCTTGTTGTGGTGGAAGTGCGGCTGAGGGGTCAAGTGGAGTGTTGTCGGTCGTGGCCGTGGGTCGTGTTGGGTGTTGGGTCCCGGCTCCCCCCACATACCCCCCGAGCTCGTGCAGCCTGTTTAGGCTGTACAGTTCCCACTTCCACTTGCCTTCTCGCCAGATTATGATAGCCTGGTCTCCCTTGCTGAACCTGATGGCTCCTCTGGAGTGCACGACAGGTGCCTCGCGCACTCTGATGTGCCAGGCGAATGGCTGGCCGTGTCTGAGGGGTCCCACCGCGCTCATGAAGAGGGATACCCCCATTCCGAGGTAGTATCCCCCGACACTTTCCTGTGTCTCTCTCTCTCTCTCTTCTTCCACACAGCCAAAGGAGCACGGTCTCCCGTACCCCCCTCTGTCTCTCTCTCTCTCTCTCTCTCTCTTTCTCTTTCTTTCTGCGAGGCGTAGGGGTCGATCGCTCTCTCTCTCTCTCTCTCTCTCCTGGGCATGGGGGACGGTCAAGTCCCCCGGGCATCATGCCCACCCAACTTCTTGTTGGGACAAGGGGAGTGAAAGTCGAGTGTAAATCATCTGAAGGCTAAAGCCATAAAGTCTACGATAACGACATAAGGTGATTGTACACTCTCGAGGACACATGCCTCTCTCTCTCTCTCTCTGCCGTGCCATCCTCAAAGGCATGATCGTTTGCAATCCTTTTTCGTGTTTTGTATGATGGCTGGGCATTCTGTCAAAAATGCGGCGCTGGTATCTGCGACACCCGAATCTCGCGTACGTGACGGGATGCGAGCAAAAAAAACTTCCTGAAGGCGTTCATGATGGAGGGTATGATGCTACTTCGAGTTTAGGAGCAGACACCGCCTGAAGAAGATCAGAAGCGATGTGTTTGCAGCACGTCCTGCTCGCACAACCGGCGCCGAGGTGACGGTCGTCGTAACACACACAATGCTGATCGTTGAGAACAGAAATCTGCTGCGTGAAGAGAGTGAGGCATGTCGGTGGCGCTCTGCTGCGCTATGTCTCCAATACAACGAAATTCACGACATAGCTTAGCAGATTAGCACTCCTGCGCCGCATTCCTCCGCATACACATTTGCACAAGTTGCCCCGGACCGTGGAGTCGATTACACTACAGTACTACAGGCACAATGCCGTTTTTCCGCGTCGCAGTTGGTATCAGAGCGCCTCCTCTTGACCAGGGCTCCCCGTCAAGCGAGTTGTCTTGCTGTATCGATGGATTTCTGGCGTGCAGCAGTAACTAGCGCTTCACAAAGGTCCCGACGGGATTGAAATCGTTGCCCATACGCTGGTCACTTGCAGTGAAGCTAGCATCAAGACATGCCGAAGCACGGCTGCATTGCATTCAGTGGACAAGACGAAGATTGCCTTCATAGTGGGCTCTGCAAGAGCTTGTACCTCCCTGGATCTGGTTAGTGCCAGGCTGATTCCCGATTGGTCCCGCCAAGAGTCTTCGAAGCAAACCAGCTCGCAGATGACGGAGCCGACAACTTTCGTGGACAGAAGCTGTCGCAGAAACAGATGCCCGATAAACCTAAGCCAGTGGAAAAGCGGCAAAGACAGAAGAGAGTTGTGATGACAAGCTGATGCAAACTGCTGACTGCCGCCATGCAAAATACAAAAGAGTGATTGATCAGTGGCGGACTTCATGTTTGCACACATTCTGTGCTTCTTATGCTTGATCAGGTGTGCCTCTTGTGGAAGCAGCGCCACAGCGAACAAAGCGGTAACACTGCAAGTTCGGGCGCCCTCATGCATGATGGCCTTCTCCTCTGCATCGCAGTTGGACTTCTCTTCTTCCGTAAGGTCCTCAGCTTGAAGGCCGTCGGGGAAAGGATGCACCACAAGAGTAAAAGTGCCGTCCAGGAATCGGAAGATGCCAACAGCTCCTCGAATTCGTTCTGGCAAATGTTGAGAACCAAGCCTCACAGAGTCCCACGCAGCTGCCCAGTGCTCCGTCTGCTCAGCGTTGCAGCCCAGGCTCTTCGAAAGGTCACCGGCTTTCCACCATCGGGGCTGGGGAAGTCTGGGTAAACAGACTTGAGGCTGAAAACCAGATCCGCATATGTCTCGCCTGCAGCATGACGGCGCAACACCGAACTAAGGAAGCGAGTGCACCGTTCATGTATATTGATTGTATCGGGCCCCCATGCTGCACACAAGCAAGCGCTGGTTCGATTCACCAACTTTCCTAAGTGGCCCTACATTGCATACCCATGAACAAACTCTCCTCTAAGGCTCACGTAGGATCCCAATTATGATCCCTGTTTTTGTTGACCCCTGTTGAGGGCGAGGCTTTGTTTTGGCGGTTTACACTAAGCCTGAATCGCTGGGTCTGACATGGTAGGAGAAGTGTCTGTAGATTTCAGAACAGGTGCTTGGTCAACCGAGAGACAATAGTGTGGTTCGGTGACTGCTTTCCGGAAGATCAACTCAATGATCGCTTCGAGCTGCTCTTGCCCCTCGACCTGGACAGAACCACCAGGGCTGGATGAACCAACTCTGCGTCTTGTCCACTGCCATATCAGTGCCTGAACGGCGGCGATCTGCCCAACGATGGTGGCCAAATTCTCAGGGCACACTTTGTTGAGCAAGCTTTGCACCTCGAGCAAACGAGGTGCATCGCGGTCGATGCCCAGCTTTGTCCCTGGCCCATGCGAGAATGTGCCTTCCGCTTCAAGCTCTCAATGTCAGACTGCGGTGTAGTTCCGACGCGGTAGGCATTTGCAGATGGAGTCCTGCCGCAGCCACTTGGAACAGGAGGGGTGCAAGCGGCATGCGAGGGCGCAAGACAACATGGGCAGGAGCTGAATCGCAATCCGAGGCTCGGCAAGGCCTCGAAGGGCTTCAATGATTCAAGAATGTTGAAAACAGCTTCTTTAGGAGAAGACACGGGCTCAAGAATTAGCCATGCCAAGAGACCATCGCAGGGGACATCCCTGATCTTGAGCCGCCACGACTCCTGGATCAAAAGAAAACCGTGGGAGCGCTTCTTCTGCCGGCAACTGAAAGGCTCAAAATGCAACATACTCTCAGCTGGAAAACCCACATCGAAGCAACATGCACAGGGGATGTCCTTGGCTCTCTTGTTGAGGTTTGCCGCTTGGGCATCGATTTTTCGGTGAATGTGGACGGACACGGTTCCGACTGCTGTCGCTTGAGTGGGTCCTTCCGATTCCCCAGCACAGAAGCAGGTGATCTTCGCAGAAAGACATGACTCGTGCACTCTTCCAGCAAGGCAGGAACCGACACTGTCCATGCTGGGCACAATCATCAGTTTCGTCCCGAGGCCAACCATTTCAGGAGGCACCGAGTCCTTCCAGGGTTGCGCAATGAGGTGCATTACTAACCGGCCTCTGCGGCCCTACGCATGTCCTCAACAAGTTTTCGAAAGCTGAGAAGTTTCTGTCTGGTCGCCAGCCAGGCCTTGCGCATGCGCATCTGACAGACGTCAAATTTCTTGGGCCATGAGGCCATGAAGACACAAGCCTTCTGTTGAGCTCGCTCGTCCTGTTCTGGCTCCACGGTTGGCTTAGCATCCGGAACCTCACCAGCAAGTCGTGGTCATGGAGGCTGGGTAAAACAACTTGCTTGCCTGGCCTGGGCCTTCTCCGAAGGCTTGAACGAAGACTTGAGGAGGAGCGTGAACAGAGGAGACTGCAGCGACGGCTTCACATCCGCCTGTGCCACACAAGGGGGTGCTCTTTTCAGCACCTGCGGCCACTTGCGACGAAAGCTACACCTGTGCTGCCGAGCGGCGACTTCCAGGTTTAGCGCGCTGAATGTGGAGGTGTCAGATCGCCACCGTGCAGCAAGCTTTGCATGTCGAGCCAAAACCTGGCTCCGTGAGGCTTGGTGCGGCGAGGCCGATCTGAAAGGATCTGAAAGGCAGAGGCTCCGGCCTGCTGGACGGACGCGGGACTTGTCAACTCCGGGAAAGCAATCTTTGAGCGTCTGACCGACCTGACATGACAACAAACGACAAGTAGTTGAGTTCCACCGGTCGCAGCGCATCGGGTCTTGCAAAACAATTGCTCAGCTGGGCAGCTTTCGGGCAGCGGCTGCAGCCTGCAGGAGATTTGAGAGTTTTCGCATCAGTCTGACAGGGCACCTAGTCTAGAATGAGAAATCGCAAAGTACTCGATATTTGCAGAACACGCAAGGCGACTGAAGAAACAACGTCGGACCAGCTTACACTTCGGAATGCGGCATGGCGAATTGTCATACTGTTCTGGCCTCTTCCGGGAGCATGACTTTGGCGCAGAGGAAGGTGCAAAATCTGTGGAAGCTGGGTTCTGCCGGGCTCTTTACGCTTGAGCCTCTTCGATCCGTCGAACGTCCACATGCAGAAGAGCATGTTTGACACATGAATGGCCATCACTTCCGCCACAGCCTTGCGAATAAGCTCCAAGCAGCTCGTCGCTGTCCACGTGCAGCAGCCAGTCCAAGCGGAGCCTCGACACGTAGAAAGACAAAGAGACATGCGAACGAATGCGCTTTCTGGGCTCCTTGCTCGCCGGCCCGCCGCAGCGCGTGCTCGTTGTTCAGGATCTGTCGGCTCTGCACCTCCCAGTCAGATTCGGAAATGCAACGAAACCGGGAGCCTCGGGAGCCTCGGGAGCCTGGAGTCGCGTGCTCTAAGCATCTCCAAACTCTAAAATATCTCGAATTATACACTTTGCAGTGACTTGCAGCAGCGACCCGGGCTCAGGTTCGCATTCAGGAATGATTCGGCCTGTGCTAGCTGCTAGCAGGAGGGTAGGGTGTGCTTTCAACTTCGGCTGAAGGCAACACCAGGCAAAGCCCTGGATTCAATTCTTTCAAGGAACCCCCGATCGCATCCTCACGCGTCATATGAGACAGACAGTATAGGGACTACAAGCCAGCATGGAAGCCTCCATATCCGCAAAGCGCCCGACGCGTTCTTGGAATCAGATTTGTAAACTTGCGGAAGCACATGCGAACGGCGAATACACAGGGCCAAAAAGCTGACCCTGTCGCAAGCTTAGGCGGCAACCCCACGAAGGCATGGAAGGCCACTGCTCACGAAGTTGTGAGTCGACGGCGACAAGTTCCACGAAGCCCGCTTGTACCTGTGACTCGTCCGCCGCTGAAGCCCACCCCCAAAGGCAATCACGCAACTGGTCGCACCCAGCCGCTCTTCTGTAGCACTTCTGCCGAGGAATCGCTCGGATCATCGAGGTACAACCTGGACAGCCGCTGCGAGAGATCCGCCACATCTGACAACCTGTCTCAGCACTTAACTTGCAGATGCTGTGCGCCAGGCAGCAACTTGCAGAAACCCAAAGCTGCATAGTGGCAGACGAAGCTCTCAATGATCTGCGTGGGGGGATGAGACAGCGAGCAAGTCTGTGAAGATGTACCGCCAAATCGTTGGATGATATGATTTACAAACACACAACCGAGATCTGGGCATTCGCACAGTCGCGGATCTGAGAGAACAAAGCGACCTGAAAGTGCTGCGGCCTGTGGCAGTCCTTCAAGCTTGAAGCTCGGCGCGCTGCCCGACTTCCCGGCGGCGCGCGCTTGCGACTGGCAGCCTCAGACAGTGCCGTGGCTGGGGCTGGACATCTTAAGGCATCTCCGTTCGAACCAGCAAAAACCCAACGGAACCTTGGCCCGGTCCTGCCAAGTCTGCCTCTCACTGGGGCCACCTCGCGAGAAAACGCCGCCCCCTCTCTTAGGCAGACGAAGCATGCTCTGAGATGAATCTCGGCTCTTGGGTGCCGGCAATTGGCCCGGAACTCCTGGCCGGCCTCAGTCCGAGTACCGACGACATGGTACTCTCAGAGCGGGGCCTGGCCTCTCGTCGCAATGCGAGCTGGCTGGCAGAAACCTCCATGCCTCGAAAAAGTCTTGATGACGTCCAGCACGAAAACTACTCAGCATCCTCTGCGGCAACATCTGAGGATTCACTGAGGATGGCACCATGAGGTCAGGTTCACCAAGTGCGGCACACATTACTCTTGCAGGTTTAGCGTACACGCTGCAAAGATCTACAGAACAGACAGCACTCAGCTAAAGCTTGTGACCTTCTCGATTTGCTTTGATCGGGTGTGACATGGTCTGAACATGTGATACCGCGTCGGAGCATCAGCGGCTGCCAAGTCTCCAGATGCAGAGGCAAGAGCCACAAATGGCCAACTCAGGTACAGAACTGTTCTATTTTTTCGTGCTATTGCATGCTGAATCAGTCCATGGAGCGTGACTTTGCTTGCATTCCACAAATTTGCACACAGCTGGCCCTCTTTTGATGAGCGGATGCACTTCTGCCGAGCCGAAGGACATACTGACTTTCTGGAACGTGCCAGGAAGTCAAGTACTGCTTCAACCTCAGCATACGCTCTTGAGCGGGGACTTCCAGATCCGTCCATCGCCTGCCAGACAGAGCAACAACAGATCTTTGCCTGCAAGTACCTGAAGGCCTATAGTCGTAGAGGAACGTTTGCTTGTACCTGGTAGGAGCTGGTGATGCACATGTTGAGGGAAGTATGGCAGAGCTAACGGTGTGTAAGGGCTGCGCAAGACTTCGAGCGGGTCCCACGCACGCAGTGGGTGACAGTAAAACAGGCCATACCTAATGTCTCCATTCGCTGACAAGCCGAAGGGAGGCCATCTGCATTTTGCCACGGCGGGCATGACCGAAGCTTCTTGCTTCACTGTTGGCCAAGCTGCCACACGTCTTGCAGACTCTGCTTATCCATCCAAAAAGGAGGCTCCACGATGTCTCGAAGAGCAAACGTTGCATCATGATAATGAAAATAGACCTGACAGGTCGCTAGGCCGTGGAACGGAGCTTGCAAGGGTGAGCGAAGGAAATTCAAGCTCATTACAATCAAATCGACATTGAGACCTTGACCGACAATGAGAACGGACACAATGGTGGAGCTGAAAAGAAGGCGCTTGGTGAAATTCCTGTGTGTGTGTGTGTGTTTGTGTGTTCACGTTTGTGTGTGCGCTTGTGCTTATGTTTGTGTTTATGTTGGTGTTTGTGTTTGCATGTTTGTGTGTGTGTGTGTTTTTGTGTTTGTCTTGTGCTTGCGCGTGTATTTGTGATTGTGTGTCGGTGTTGGTGTGTGTGTGTGTGGTTGTGTGCTTGTGTGCTTGTGTGCTTGTGTGCTTGTGTTTGTGTGTTCGCGCTTGTGTGTTTGTGTTTGTGTGTTTGTGTGTTTGTGCTCGTAAAGTTTTGTGTGTTTATGTCTGTGTTTGTGTTTATGTTTGTGAATGTGTTTTTGTGTGTTTGCGTTTGTGTCTTGTGTTTCTGTGTTTGTGTTGTTGTGTTTGTGGCTGTGGTTGTGGTTGTGTTTGTGCATGCGTTTGTTTGCGTTTTTGTGCTTTTGTGTTTGTGTGCTTGTGTGCTTGTGTGCTTGTGTGCTTGTGTGCTTGTGTGCTTGTGTGCTTGTGTGCTTGTGTGCTTGTGTGCTTGTGTGTTTGTGTGTTTGTGTGTTTGTGTGTTTGTGTGTTTGTGTGTTT